TTTTATAGAATAACAGCAATATAAAAGTGAACTTTTAAGTTCATACTCATATACTTCCAAACTTGCATTCTCACCTATAAATTATCCAGTATAACGTTTATCTTTGAGTTGACAACAAGGAACAAATGCAAATCCTAAATGTATTCACGTTTATAATTGACATTTATGTTATTGATATGTTTTTATTGACAGTTATCTTTTATGGAACAGCCCGGTAAAGTTCAGACAAAAAAAATCTGAATCCTTCATAAGGGTTAAAATTTTAAAAATCAGCTCATCATAGATTAAAAAATAGCTATTTAATAAGGAAGTAAGGGCAAATATACAGATCTCTAAAGTTGTAGGGAAATCAAACTAAAATCTGCTTCAAAAGTATCGTTTAAAAAATTGATAAGATATTCAAATTAAAGATTACTGAGATTATCATGCATTATTAACCAGAGATCCTAATACCTTATGCACATACAGGTCCAGAAGGTAGAGGGTTTAAGGATCAGTGTCTCAGATTAGGATGAGTGTTTTGCAAAGCTGTCTGACTGCTACTGAAACACCGCTAACATCAGCTTTATATAAGCTCCCTATACTTCTATAAAGCAAACATCCGGATATATTTAAAGTCCAACCACAATGACAAACATATCACCTTCATGGTTTGATCTCAGAATCTGTGAAAAAGAAACTTTTTCTGTTTCAAAATCAAACGTGCTGTTTTATCAGTAGTCCTATCATCTGTACATTAATATCCGTTACTTTACCGTCTAAACTTCATGTGAAGGTCTTGTTATTGTATCCAGGGAAAAGGGTCGCAGTCATAAAGCGAGATCTATTTAGTGTAGAACAGCATCTGATGTAACGGCTTCCCATGGTGCAGTTCTCCCTTTGACTTTGCTTGTTGCTGAAATGAATGATGACTCAGGGACAAAGACCTGGTTCTCCTGTAAGGAATTTAGCTGTATGAATACTCTGCAATAAATTATAGTGTTACTTATTAAAAGTGGAAGGAAAAGATACAAAAATTATCTATTCTTATTTGAGGTCATTTTATTATCCTTTTTTATTAAAATTTTCAGTAAAATCATCTTTGAGGACTACTGAAGTCCTGTTCAGACATGGCAGCTGTAAAAGCAACTTTATTAGAAACCTGTTTAAAGCCCCCCCACCCCATGGATCCTCTGTCTTTACACCCGATCTGATTACCAGCTACGTTCTGGAATGTTTGCACACCAGAACATCATTCTATGGTGGATTTGACACTCTTTTCTCTGCCATTGGTTCAAATGCCTCCTCTCTTCTTCTGTGAATAAAAAACAGCTGTTATGGCTCCTCTGGCTTAAGGCGGTTCCATCTTTACAATCAGACCTTTCTGTGCCGATACCTCATCCAGCCTCCTGTGGATACAGGCATAGTTCCTCAGAGACACATTAGAACTTGCCGGGTTATGGTTCGGTGCCAAAGACCCCAACTTCTCTTCCTCTTGGTAAATAAAATAACATTTCTACATGTCTGTGCAAATTCTCAGTTATCCGGGTCATGGCGACAACACAACAGCCTTAAATGTAGACAACCAGACCTGCTGTTGGTTTTTCTGAAGATGTTTCAACAGATGGTTTGAAAGAGGGGGGAGTGAAGGCATCTTTGCTAAAAGAAAGAGGCTTTCACTGAACAGAGCGGGAGGATGGTGGTTTTAGTTTCCAAGGATCTACAGTTTGGTCCTGGAACTTATTCCAAAGAAGTAACACAAGCAAACTCCTCTTGATTCAAATGGCCAAATACAAAAAAAACAACAGACTCCAACAACCCAGAGAAAAGATGGGTGGGTCTTTTATTTGCATCTGATCTGGAAGGTTCTTAGTAGTATGGACCTAAAAAACATCAGCAGTCCTTTTTAACATGCTGCTCTATTGTGAGCTAAAGGAATTGGCAAAGACCCTTAACTCTTGCCTCCAATTTTTTTTTGTCTTTATTTTTACTTAAAATCTAACAAAAAATAAACAACGTGTGGCACAGTAGGGAAGCTAGTATTTTTATGAATGTCTGAAATTTCATGATTAAGGAGGCTGACTGTAAGGAGATGACATGGTCTGCTCATGCACTCTTTAGCCCCACTTGCTCTACCCTTTTGAAACCGTGCCGACAGTGTTCGGAACACGGTATCCGAGATAACCGATGATCTATGGCTGTCTTATCTGAGAAATGAGCCATAACTGAACCGCGCCGAGCCCTACTGATGAACTAGTACCAGTTTAACACGGTTCGGTTGTGTCTGGTGCGGTCCGGTTCAGTTATGTTCCATATTTACTCAACAGTTATCTCGGTTACCGTGCTCGGACCGATCTCGGTTTCAAAGGGGAAGTGTAAATGGGGCTATATCAGCCAGCTGTGTTACTTTCAAATACAACAGGAGTGGATAAAATCCTCTGAAGCTAAAAATCTTTTCTACATCATTGCTTCTGCATTTTACATATTAATGTTTGGCTGCACTCCAGTACTGTAGGTAACAGAGACGCATTAAGCTAAAGTCAGTCCCTGGTTCGGCTCCTCATCTCCTGCTCATTTTGCTCAGACACTAAGAAAAGACCACGAGTTGCTGCAGCATCGATAATCATCCAGGAGACGAGCATGAGCTCATTGATTCAACTTAACCCTTTGATGCCCATTGTTACAAACATGCAGCAAAACACTTAGTATTACGCACATAGCCAAGATGGCCCGTGCATTCCCCCAATGGCAATTATTACATATTTGGTGTGGACCTTTGGCAAGCTCTTGTTTCCATTACAACTGGTTCCTAACGGTGTATGTTATCAATGATAGTTATAAATGTGTTCTTAAATTTGGACAATACATACATTTGTATTTATTTATTTCAATAAATCTAACTAAAATGTTCAATTTGGCAGCTACTACTGGTACCACTACAAAGATATTTTTTTATATATTGGTATACATGTATATAAATTCAGGCATCAAGGGGTTAAAGAGATATATGGACCTTATACAGAGCTTTGTGTTGAAAAATGACACACAAAACGACAATGTGATAAACATTATGAAGATTTTTTAATAAAAACTAAGCCGCTATAAACACCTGTTTTGGGTTGTTATGGTGACGTGATTCTTTATTCCATCTTAGTGGTATGTATTCCTATTATTAAGAAACAGCACATCAATTTGACATAATCCTAAAAAAAGGAAATTTAGGGATAGAAAGTTTTAGTTTTTTTAAAAATATTAAAGCAAATAGTGGTCATGTCCTGCTATTAATCCCTATGATACTCATATGGTGGCAACTCTCTGTTATAGAGAGGTTAGGTTACAATACATTTTTTTTAGTCAAATAAATGGATCATGTTGCAAATTACATATATACCATTATGGAGCTTCTACAACTTCACTCTAAAAATGTCTTTTTTGTTCTGTTTTCTCTCTCTGCAGTTGTATAACAGCATGCCTATATGTTTGCCAGCGGACCGAGCAGAATCATTATGGAAGTGAAAGAACGTCGTCCATACTGCTCACTAACCAAGAGCCGGAAAGACAAGGAGGGCCAATACACAGGTAAGAAAACTACCTACATGCATACATACATTTATACATACATATATGCATACATGCATACATACATACATACATACATACATACATACATACATACATACATACATACATGCATGCATACATCGCTACAACTGGAAACAAATTCTTAAATATTTTTAATTAAAAAACAAAAAAAATATTCTTCTCTTTTTTGGCAATAAGTCAAACCACTTGTTTCCTTTGGAGGTAATTTTTGATTACAAATTATGCTCCATTTTCCAAAAAACTTGAATTATATAAAGAAAAAGTAATCTACTTTACCTGTTCTTATTTTTAATGGTGTTAATAGATATTTTTAGTATTTCTTCGAGTTGCCTTTTAAACATTATGACTTGGGTCAAATATTTAGACAACCACAAGCTTCCCACTATAGTTTTTTAGGATTTGGGCTCAATTCTCCTGACTGAAGCAGGGGAACTGAGTCAGCTTTATTGGTTGCTTCAGTCACACACCCTGTCAGTTTTCCATGTCTGTTAGAAAAAGCTCAGGGTGCATGATGGACACCAGAGCATTTAGTGTTCCTAAGCTACTCCATAGCTGATGGCCACTCTTAGCCATTTTCCTCTTTGGGAGCCCATTTAGGCAGAACTGTTAACATTGTGGTTAATCTAAAAGTTGTTTTAATATTTCATTATACTGTTCTTTCATATTCATTTACCTAAATGATATATATTTTGTGAGTTGCAAACTAATAACATAGTTCTTTCTCCACCACGCTTTATTGCTGGGATGGTGGTGATTGGCCGGCAGACATTCAGAGATCTGTACTACTAGTTTTTGTACTCAGCTCTTTTTCAAATTAGATTAAACTCTGTGTTGTTGGTGCTTTACAAGTAAGTCACTAGGACTCTTTTCTAATAGGACGTTTTTTGCTTACTCTTAAACACCCTTACCTTTTCATATCCACTTCATGAAATGGAGAACTTTTCACAACCATTAGAAGTAATTAGCATTCACAGGAGGACTGTATTACAAATAAAGCCTGGTTTAATCCAACCTGGATGTTTGCAATCTCTGCCAAATATATTTTAGATATATAACTGGATTTATTTCCTTAATGTTTAAAACTTTAAATTATATTTAACATTTTTGATACCTGAGAGACATAAAGAATAGATGGAGATAGAGAGAAGTCCTCCTCTTTAAAAAATGGATTTAAATCAGTAAAACAAAGAATGGAGAAAACATGGAATGCTATTCCATGTTCAGTGCAGACTTCAGGCAAAGAAAAGGAAAGTCAATTCCTACAATGGATAGAATCAAGGAAGATGATCTGATGCCAGGAGCTCTGTGTGAAATCAGAACTTAACTAGCAATAACAAATCACTAGATCTCATTTAAAGAGAACAAATAGGAAGAACAAATGGTGAAGGTTCAGGCTCATCAGAGACAGCAACAGTCATCAGCTCTTATTGCAATGTCACACCAAACCATTCAATTTGTTTTATGTCTATGGCACCAATTCACATCATATCATCTCAAGGCCATTTGCAGAGACAATTCAACCAGATCATACAGTCAGATTCATTCAGTTTTTTATCTAAAAAAAAAAACAAGCTGATTGCATCGACTCATTGACTCTTCAGCAATCCCTCACACTAAGCATGCTTGTAGCAACAGTGGAGAGGAAAAACTCCCTTTGAACAGGAAGAAACCTCCAGCAGAACCAGGCTCAGTGTGAGCGGCCATCTGCGCTTTACGCTACATTCATTCACCCATTCACGCACACACTCACGGTGGCAAGCTACATTGTAGCCACAGCTGCCCTGGGGCTCACTGACAGAAGCGGGGCTGCCGTACACTGGCGCCACCGGGCCCTCTGACCACCATCAGTAGACAATGCAGGTGAAGTGTCTTGCCCAAGGACACAACGACACTGAAAGTCAGAGTCGAGGTTGAACCGTCAATCCTTTGATTTCAGGGCAAACTCCTACATCCAACGCCACTGTCGCCCCAGAAAAAGAAGCAGAGATACAAAAGGCAACTGTAAAACACAGCCAGGCAGACGAGCTCCGAGCCAGCTCCCATGTCAGAGGATGAAGAGAGCACATCCAGTCAGTCACAGTCAGAGAAACAGGACTACACTGAAAAACAGGCCAAGCTCCAACATCTAGAAATAAATGTGTTGATGGCAGCAGCACAGCTGATATTTCTCTCCAGGATGGAGTCACAGCCAAACAGGAACAGACCAGATGAAGCTACTATGAGAAAAAGCAGAGAGAGCAGAACGTTAGAGATTGAACTAACAGATTCTGCAGAGTGGGAGAATAGAGATAGAATGAAGCAGAATGATGAAAAAGGGCTCCCTATGTCCTCCAGCAGTCTAAGCCTATAGCAGCATAACTATAGAGATAGCTCATGATATAGTTGGAAAATGGACTCTGTAACACGTCCAACAACTCTGAATCTCAGATTAAAGTACTTATATTTTATTTTAGCATTTCTTGCATGTTAAATTGGTCAGTAGCCTCAAAGAAAAATCCAACTGAATCTCCCAAGAGTTAAAAACAGAGAGAGTCAGACTGCAGCCTGAGAGCCAGCGCCAATTTAACAAGACCTGTCATTCTAGAACATTAGCATAACTATCACACCATTTATAACAGAAACTTTTCTTTAAGCTTGTGTTTTTACAATAGAAACATTTTACAGGCTGGATAATATATGTTAAGGTTTGCCTTATCAGCTATAACTGGAGTCATTCTAATTAACAGAAATGAAGGCTTAAAACATCTAACATCTGTGTGGAATTAATCTATATAATGAGTTTCTCTTAGCGGACTGAGTTACTGAAGTAAATTAACTTTCTATAATATTCTAATTTGTTTAATGTGGCTGTTTTAATTTCTTCTGAGAGATCCTGTTGTGCAGCTCATTGACTGTGTATATGTGTTTATAGATATGTTTTAGTGTCAGAAGTTTGGAAATCAGCTATTCAGGAAAGAAAAAAACATCCATTTTAGAAATCTGGGGTAATACAGAAGCTGAAATCACTTGTTCTTCTAGGGGACTGTTTCCTTTGCTGTGCATTTTCACAGCAGGAGCCAAAGTCTGCAGATGAAGGACGTTTACACAGGAAATGGCTCTGGTTAGCAGGAGGGACCTTTTGGATAAAATAAGACAGCAGCCCTGGTGTTTCCTTGGTCAGCAGTGGTTTTGTCTCCATGCCATGGATGGCTTTTTCTGCTGATTTTTAAAAATATTTTTAGTATTAAAATGATGAAGATCAGCCATAAATGATGCAATGAGCTCTGCAGAATGCAGATTGGCCGATACAGACTTTAAAGCTGAATACCGATTGTTTTGACATGAGTATGACTGATCCCAGTGATCCCTGATATTTGCTACTGACACTTTAGACCAATTTTAGAAACTCATATTTCTTTTTCTTCCTCCAATTGCATAGTGTCACAATGATAACCCATGTTGCACTAGCCTCCATCTAAACAAAAAGAAACATTTACTTACACATCAAAACTGAAAATTAACAACGGAGAGACAATATGTGCAATTCACATGATAAACCTGATAGAAATCAGGCCTGGATGGGAAAATGAATGGAAGAATGTCCTCAATCACAGTTAAGTCAATGTTTAAAATGGGGATTAGTTATATTTTCAAAGATAATCAGGTTGATTTATCCACCTTTTTAGTTACAAAACAAAACCATCACTCAAACACTACATTTGATGTCTTCTCAGGTTAACTTTGTCATAAAAATTTTTTTGCTGTCCTGAATTGGTAAAGTGAAGTAGCTGCAACAGAAAAACATCTTTAAAGCCGGGCTTACACTGTACAATTTTTTTTGCCCTTTTCGGGCCGATTCTCCAGTCGTGATTTTTAGGGCTTTCAGCACTAAATTGCCAAGGCAACGTGTTTCACTCTAGAGAGCTTCATATTCCTCTTCTACTTGTTTGGCTTCCAGAGCCACTGAAAAAAATAACGCAACCATTTTTGGCATTTACTAAATCATATTTAGTTACTTTGACACAATTTTCATGTTAGCTGGGTAGGACATAAAATAATTGTGTTAAAATAACTAAATATGATTAAGTAAATGCCAAAAGCGGATGCATATTTTTTCATTGTAGCGCCATCTCCCTAATGCTACAGTGTGAGCAGGTAGATCGCATCACAGCGTCGGGTCGCACACTGTGAGAACATACATCGTAAGCTTTGAACTTTTAAATCCTGCTGTTTTGTCGTACAGTGTGAGCTGTAGCTGCGTGCAACTATTGAAAAAATCATACAGTGTAGGCCCGGCTTAAGGAGGCAGAGGATTTTCACCGTGATGCACATTCATGCTAACTGCCATGAGCCATATCCCGTTAACTTCCTGCAGACAGCTGAAACGACAGAGGTGTTGTTCTCCATTAGGAACATTTTTAAGTCCTCCGTATGCAGCATGCTATGTCAAAGCTTAGTAAGGTTAAATGTTCATTATTAAACTCCTTATATTGTGCTAGAGGGCCTTACACATTATGAGAGTGAAAGTCCCCAGAGCTGTGGAGGAGCCGCCTGAGGCTTTGTCCAGATCAACCTCCATGTTCAGGGTTCATCCCAGTGAGATGTAGAATATTTGGTTCTCAGGCTACGTGGAACCTCGGCTCTAAGCTAGTTCTTATTACATGATGAATCAGAAGATCAACCAGCTCTTTTGCCCATAACTGCCTCATCAATAAGCTCATTATCAACAGTCCGTAAAGCTTTTATTGGTGATGGATATGTCTGACAATTATAGCACCCAGAATTTATCAAAACTACCTATTATTTAAAAAAATGCAGAAATATGCTACATCCAACATAGCTGCCACAGATGAGATGGAATAACAGCTAGTTGGGCTTTTTACTTGTATAGTTAGGCCTTATGCAGGAGAAAAAATTGGGGAAATATCAGAGAGAAACTAAGGCTGATAAACATGAACAAAACAATAGTCACGTCATTTCAGAGCCCAACTTCTGCC